GATTGTTCACTCTGTTATTTATTTTTCACTTATTCATAATAATAAAACGTTTAAACATCCTTGTTCAATATTAAGAACATTGTATTTGTTTATTTCATCTAATATATTTCACTACACATTAATACTCCCAGTCAAACAGGCATACCTCGATGAAAAACAGGCGCGCTTTGTTCCTCTTGAATGTTGGCTTTATTGATTTTTTTTCTTTTTTTCTTTATTGCATGATCGTTTACATGTTATTGTTTGTAGGCGCCTGTTTTTCATCGAGGGATACACCTGCCAAATCAACATTCAGAGCATTAAGCTTGTTAAAAACAGATCGACGTCATTACATTAACACCAAACAACTGATGCTCCGCCGCACCGAAGATAGAAACTTGCTGCCTGCTGTTGCCATTTTCTGCACAGAATCGTCAGTTTCCAGTGAAAGCTTTTACCCCAGTTCCTAACATCCATTCTAGTAGCGCTTTATTTCAGCTATTGGTTACGCTCGTTGCTTTATTTGAGGGAGAACGTTTTTCACATGAATTCTACAGTCCTTTTTCATTTTCGACATGGAAGAAATTAAAAGAAATCGTTTTGGAATAGACAAGCGTAAGAAGTTAAACACTAATGATGCAGCCGAAAAAATCGGTTTTGTAAGCATGGTGTTTAAAATTTTGCACCGTACCCATGCCGCCTTTCGGCAATCAAACGGGGAACAGGAAACCGTCTCAGGACCAATCTATATCTAATATACTTCATATGTACATAAATGCTCACCGCTCACGACTGACGCGATTAGGTTTAATATGAAACCCTGCATCGTACCACGAATACTTCAGAAAGTTTGAGAAGTTCATCACCATTTCATTACTACAATAGTCTCAACTAGACTACAGAAAAACCTTACTCCAAACATTCATCCATTTCTGCAGGACTTCAACTACAACGGCGACAGCTACGAATTTCCTCTTCTCATGACTTCAGCGTAGTTTTCTTCAGATGGTCCTTATTCAGCAAATAGTATCGATGCAACGTTAGCGGAGAAAAAGGGATGATAATCGAAAACTAATAACAGTTCAGTGGCAGGTGTCTACAGATCTACCGTGCCGAATTTTCTTTCTCGAACCGCTTTTTCTTGATTGTTTCACTATTGCTGAGTTTTCACACGTAACTGTTCCAAGGCATTTGTCTTGTGATTGTTTCAGTATGGGGAATAAAATGGAATAACAAAATTTTCTTTGACTTCGATTTCTCCGATGTGTAACTAGCGTTAATGACACCAAGGAAATCATCCATATCACCTGTCGTCCCGTTATCACTGATTCCTCAAGCAAACGTCAGTAACGCCTCCACTCCTCTCTGTCGCAAGACGATGTAGTCTAATAGATTAACTTTGCCCGGGATCCCCTCTGCATTGCGCGTGCCGGGGCATTCCGAGCATCGTCTTCTCTGCGTTGAATGGCTGGCGCTGAGTACATATTCATCTTGCTAGAGCGTTCAGAGGTATCCGTTCATTTACGTAAAGGGAGCATCAGATACCAATCCGTTTCTCATAGACATCGTCCTTGTTAGGTTCAGTCTTGAGCCGATCCTTCCAGAAGCGTGCCGACATTGTGTGTTATAAACACGATGTCGCCCGGAAAGGAGATGGTCAAGCGATGGTCGTTGAACTCCACTGTGTCCATGTCTTCCCATTCCAAAAAAAAATCCATTACGTTCTCGAGAGTGGCACCAAGAAGATTGGGTTGTATGGTACCGCTCTGCCGGACTCCTCTCTTCACGTCGAAAATGTCATTCTCGCAAATTGGGAAAATCCTGATCGTGAAGTTGTGCTGGACAGAAACCCGGTTTGCCCAGAGCTTCAATCTTTACTTCTGTCCTGACAGTAACAAACGCCTTCTTCGAATCGATGTATTTCAGAGGCAACGGCATCCGTACTCTCGCAAAACTCCAATGAGTCATGGAACTGTGTGGATAAGAACTGTAAATTAAGTGTGAGGAGTTCAGATCAAAAAGTAATAAACAACTTGTAGTGCGAAGTACGAAAGACTGTGAAGTTCTCATCATGGGAACACCCACAGCCCCAAAACCCAGTCCACCACGGCCCATCTTCACAAAAGCCACGGAGCTCGTAGTGATGGTAATTTGGCAAGGGCTACGGTTCTTGGAAACGTTCGTATCTCCTCTCATGCTTTGGATGTGTTCAGTTTAGGTCCTTCTTTCGCACTGCGCAGAACGTAAACGCACATACATTCCGTACAGTTGTTTGATGTCTTCAGAGGTTTAGAGATCTATTGCCTGAACTACCAAGAGCAGACGGAATCATGAGTTGCAAATTTCGAATCCTAATCGAGGCTTGATAACATCTGCGCCATTACCGAAAGAACATCCACCGTACCCGATGCTGACGTCAAGTTCAAGATATTGTCCGCGAAAGTCTTGACTGTTCAGAACAGAAGGCTTCGGAACACAAACTTAACTTATAAGCAAAGGCAGAGTTTCTTTTGAATTGCGCGAGGTAAGATCAAATGAAACAACGTTAGGTATAACTTACGTAACGTTCCATTCGATCTTAACTCAATAGCTATAAAGTGGTGACTTTGTAGTTATGTCTCAAACACTTGATAGAGCCATAACCGAACTCCATCTCTGTTTACCGTCGCGAGATTGAGGATCTTTCATCACAGTGCAGTCGCCTCAATCACATATAGTTGATTGTCGCTAGATATGCAGGTATTGATGAAAGGTTGATCAGAATACTCAAAATGGGTAGTCCAAACTGACTAGTTTTCTATAGCGTCGTGAAGACCTATGAACTCTCCTTTAACGGCGCACTTTCTACATCACTAGATACATTCGAAATTCACCCATTGTTAGTTGTGTGGGGACCAACTGACAGAGTCTCGTGGTTTCTCAATAATATTGTAAGCCAGTTGTTAGCCATGATTTCATCTAACCTGCCCAGTACTAGGCTTTCCTTGAACTTAATCAAAACACTCGACGTCGTTTCGCTATATACCGATGTCCAAAGCGATCAGGCCCTACAAGCATTATCTGAAATGCTGGATAGAATTCCTATAATATAACACATTTGGACTTCGTGAAATGCATATAAAGACGTTGGTCAAGGATTGCTTAATGTGTAGCATCTTCAAATGGGTGGGAAAGCACTTTTCTCAAGTCAGAGGTCTTGCTATGGGACAACGGCTGGCACCAGTCCTGCTATGTACTTTACGGGCAGAATTGACGATCCGGTTCTAAAACGAAATACTTTAATGTGCTGTAGATACATCGACTACTGTTTCATTGTAACATGAACACAGTTCGACATGAACGAGTGCTTTTGAATCATGAATGAACAGTCACAGTATATTGAACTCACCCGAGAGGTACCATGTGATGGTTGCCTCCCTTACCTCGAGAACCGGGTCAAGGTATCCAGTGGAGTTGTTAGCGTGTGTAAAACTAGTTCTAAGAATATCTTACTTAATGTTAAATCAGCTCATCCACAAGTCGTTACACGTGCAGTCATTAGCAACATGTTGAGAACAGCACAAGTGTCTGCACAGGTGAGGCTGAACGCCGCGAATCACAACGTTTAGCTTGTGAGACAGCTGCCGTAAACGGTTATACGGAATCACAAGGTTTTAGAAAATATCACACTACTACGCAGTGTGCTACGCCTCAAAAAAGCAACCACTATGTCTTCCCTTCATCTCCGATAAATTTAGCAATGCTATACAGCATTTTCGGAGCTGGATGCAAGATGTTGTACAATTAGTGAATATTCCTAATAACAACATCAAGCAGTTACTAGTTCGGAACAGGCTCTACGACAAGCAGTGCATAACAAAATACTGCAGCATATGTACTCACGGAAAAACGGGTAATTGTGCACTTATGGCGTGACTTATTAAATGGAATTCCGGACGTGTAGGTCAACATACATAGGAGAAACGGGAAGACAACTTGCTACACGAATAAAAAAGCAACTAGCTAGTATAAGGCGTGACAGCCTGACGACAGTGCTTGGTAAGCATAAAATTGAGGAGCACAACGGTAACAACTTCAAAGAAAAGTGCACGATATTAGCGCAGGAGATTTCAGCGAGAGAGGCATTAGAGGCGTTCCCGGGTTTTTCAAAGAAATCCTAAAATGAACGGTAGAGTGAGTGCTGTCCAAATCACCGATCTTTTGCCGTATATACCGCACTGCGACTTATGACTCAGTAGCATTATGACCTTCCTTATCAGAAGTATGAGGGGTGAGTTAAGATTCGAATCGTGGGTTTGAAGTTGTCGTCGCATTCGCCAAAGGGGATGATCCGCTTTTTAGATACTGTGCAAATCATCTCGAGTTGCTCTAGGCCTCTGAATAAGACGACTGCGTCGAAACGTTAGGCCGTTGGATTAATAAATTGTTCCGCCTAACAACCTCAGCCTACGGATCTCCTTTCACTGAGGGTTCTCTCTCACTGAAGGATCCCCAGCCGGTTAGTGACGAGGCTACGTAGGGCGTCCCCAGGTGGCGGATAGGGGAATTAATCGCCGACCAAAAGTCACCGGTACTTGCCCAGAGACGCAGGTGGATTCAGGGGATGGACTCCTTGATTCTGCTGTGCTGGGTCGATATACCCTCTGTTCCTCGCAGGCGATCCACGCATACGTGTGTGGAGAGTCTGTGGGTGCAGTTGGTATCCTGCCCATCGACTCGGCCAAAAGCTTGCATTCGAGTGACTGGGAAGTATCTGGGAGGCGATTCGGGGCCGCCTCCAAAAACAAAGCCCCTTGTCCACTTCGGGATAGCCTGGCAAGCCCCCGGAGTCAATAGCCCCCACGTCAGAGCCTGGCAAGCTGCACGTTGGGTATCTTCACGCCAAAAACAGTAATAGAAATGGGCCTCATTCCCCTGAACCTGAGGGAGCCCCCAATACGGCAGCGTTGGGTAGGACCGCTCGGGAGAGGCTGCTAAAATCTCAGGGCCAAAACAGGCTGCCCAAAAGGAGAAGGACTAGGATGGCGATCTGTACTTTCAACGCACGGACGCTTGCATCGGAAGCGTGTATAGAAGACCTGATGATGCAAGCTAGGAAGATCAAGTACGACGTCATCGGACTGACCGCGACGAGAAGGCATCGCCCGCTGCACGCTGTATTTGAGACTGGAGAAGAACTGTTCCTTGGAACATGCGACAGTAGAGGCGTCGGCGGCGTAGGTGTCCTCGTCAATACGCACTTGGCCATGAACATCGATTCGTACGAAAGCTTAACAACCCGAATCGGACGTTTGCGATTAAGAAGATGTGGCTCAATCCCAGCTCTAACCATCTTCGTTGCTTACGCACCAACATCGAGCTACGAAGAAGAGGAGTTGGAAGCGTTTTATATGGATCTGGAGAGGCTCTACAGAGAAGACCACACTTTCTTCAAGGTCATCGTCGGTGATTTTAACGCCAAGATTGGCCCCAGAAGAACGGCTGAAGAGCTTCACATCGGGACTCACGGAGTGGAATGGAATGAGCAGGGTGAAAGGCTGTCCGAGTTTATCATGACGACCCACACCATCCATGGTAACTCGCAGTTCCAGAAGCCCTCTCATTTAAGATGGACATGGGAGTCACCTGGTGGACAGTTCCATAATGAAATAGACCACATCATCTTCAATCGGAGATTTTGCCTGACCGACGTCGCTGATGTTCC